CGAGTCGAGTGTAGAATTCGTATCACCAGCCATCGATGCCATTCAAACCCGGTTCACCTCATTGGGAGGCGAGCTCTCTATCCTCTGAGCTACCACTGCTCAATTCAGCATCTTTGACGTCATTATTAATATGAGGATTTTTTATGCTTCTCCTAAACCAACTACTATCAGTTCTCCATTATTTCTATTTTCATGACATGGCTCATTTTTTTAAAAAAAATTCGCTTAGCACCTATTGCCAAATTTAATTAAACATCATTGGCTTCAATAATAGTTTTGCGATTTTTTACGTTTCTTTTAAACGCATTAGTATCATTTCCCCATTTATGTTTCTTTTTAGTAAAAAACGTATTATTATTTTCTTTTTTACCTTTAAATTCAGTTGAGATTTTTGTATTTAGTTTTATTGAAAGACATTCTAAAAGCTTAATTTTAAACAAAATAAACACGTGGATTCAGATGATTGGGAGTTATACAACCAAATTCGATACTCAATAACATCTAAACGAATAGATAACTAAGCTAAAGATACTGAAAGGTCTGAGGTTTTGTATGTATATAACATTTCGACAGAAAGTGGGACATTTGTACCCTTCCTTAGCTTTCATTCAATTTATTTCTCTTACAAAGATTTCGTTTTAAAAAAATTCATTAAATGCTTTAAATAGAAACACTTCTATACTAACACATTTTTTTATATTTCTAAAAAAAAAATATATGCTTAGAGAATAATTTTTAAGTGTTTTGGTTATGCTATTTCTCACGCTTAACAATGAAGTGCAAAACTTTAATGGTTTGAGGGACCGGCCATAAATAACAAACGAAAAAACGTGTTTTTGAACACCCTATGCCAAAAAAAATGTAGCAATAAATTTGCAACTTGTAAAAATTATTTTGGTCCGAAAATAGGGTTCTCAAAAGTTTGGTCAGGAGGAGAGCGAGCCAAAGTTTGGACCCCTTAAGGTTAATTTTATTTTTTGCTTCTTTCACCATGTCTGGTGGCATTTTTAAGCGAATTGAAAACTTTTTGCACACAATTATAAAATTCGTTTAGCCACAGATAATTTCATACAAAAAATACATACAATTCCAAATACAATTGCATATAAAAGTTTACTGAGTATTTATTATTTTTTATAATTTTATTTAGTAATAGTCAAAAAAAGGTACACAATTTTTTACATAATTTTAAAGAATGTATTTTTACATGGCAAAGTGCGAAATTTGAGCAAAATCGGTCAAATATTTCCCGAGAAATCTAATTTTAGAAATACTTCTTTTTTTAAAAATATGATTTTCTCAGAAACTATTTAAACGATTTCACTCAAATTTTGTATTTTTGTAACTAAAAATTATATTTCTTTGGAATGATGTAAATCAAACTATTGGAACCATGTTTTCCCAAATAGTGACTACCCCGTACATTTTGAGGATTAAAGACCCGATAATCCATCGAAGAAACGGTATGTTTATTCAGAGAAAATACGTTTTTGTGTCTGATTTCGTAACTTAAAATATCGAGTGATCGAATTAAGTAGCATATTTAAGGTCACCCACTAGAACAATCAAGATTAAGACGTATAACGTGAAGATTCGATCATTAGATCAAAAGTTTTCAGGGTAGTTCGTTTAATTATTTTTTTTTAGCACTGTGAAATGTATGTGAAATAACATCAGCTCAGCTTGATGATTTGGTATCTTGTTTCATTCATATGAATGAAGAGTCCCTAGTTATTGACACAAACTCTCCAAGCCACTTGGAAATGCGGCTTAGCTGAAAGTTGCAAGGAAATATACTTTAAATATTTTTCCTTGCCTAAGTTAATAAAAAACTCAATTGTTCCATCAAAAATATGTAAAGTGTATTACCATCAGTTTATTTATTATTACTAATTTCAAAATATAACATGCATATAAGTGTTTATTTTGGGATAGTTCTTTTTGTTTTCCTCTCTCTTATCTTTTCTTTTCCCTTTTTCAAAAGTTTCAGTCCCTTTTTCAAAAGTTTAGCTTCAGCCAGCTGGGTTTTGCAGCTTAGTCCAACTTATAGTTGATCGAAAATATAAACGCTATTTATATGTTTCAAATGTTTATGTTTAGATAGAAATGTAACTAGATTTTGCTTCAAGCATGTATATGAAACAAATTAAGATAAAACCTGTTTGATATTCTATTTATCTCTAGAAAAGAAGGTTTGATAAATCAATTGTGCTATCCTAAATTGTGATAATATTTATCATACAGATTGGTTCAAAGAACAAGATATTAATGCTTAAAAAAAATTAGAAGTAATTATGCTGTTTTATTGATTGCATATTACATGCAGTAACAAGCGTTTTTACCAGCTCTTGAGTATGTCAAATTTAATGTAGGATAGACTTCTTTTAGTTGAAATTAAGAATATATTGATTATTGCAAGATACACTGCCCTACAATAATGGAAGAGACACTTTCAATTTTTGACATTTTTTTAAATTTTTCCAGAAAGAGTTATTTTGTAACTTTAGAGATGTTTAGTTCATGCGGTTTTTCATACTTGGCAATACGATTTAAAGCTTTCAGAGATTTGGAAGACCAACAATAAAGTATGAAAGAAAACAAGTATTTTTGAACACCCTATGCCAGAAAATAAAGAAAAAACTTGTAGCTTGTATCNTTTTTGCTGTAACTTTAAAAATATTCAATAAAACTGAACAAAATTTTTATGGCAATTTAAAATTAATTTCAAACTTACTGCTTTAAGATTTTAGAAAATTATTTTTAAAACTGCGCAATGTATGAGTAATTAAATAGTTCTTTTATACTTTGCTTGCAAGAGGAAAATTTAGTTTTTTTTTTTCTTAATTTTGCTCAGAATCGTATTTGGCAACTAATTAAAACATTTGATTTGAATATCTAAAAAATTAAAAAGTTTCAATCAATTTTCTGAGTAGTTTTTGTACTCTTCAAAATAAAACTCGAAACGATCAGGGGTTTTTCACAAATTTTATTTTGATTCAAAAGACAAAATTTAATAACAAATGATAATATTTTACAATAATTGTCCGAAAACTAAACTTTGGTATAGAGAAATGAAACTTGCAGACGAAGACATACTCTTATGGGGGGTGATCCCCCACAATGCCGGTCTCATTATTAATAAATCTTATTTAATAGTACAGCATCAAATTTGTGGATAACCCCGTATCCTTTTGAGCTTTCTTTTAAAAAATACAAACACTACTTAGAAAATTGCTTGAAACTTTTTAAATTTTTAAGATATTCAAATAAAGCTTTTATCATTAGTTGTCAAATACGATTAGTTACAAAATTATGGAGAAAAAAAAACTTTTTTAATTTTTCTACCCATGCGCAGTATAAAATAACTGACTTAAATGCTCATATCTTAAGCAGTTTTTAACAATTTTTTTTTTAAATTTTATATCGACAATTAAGTAATTAATCTTAAATTCCTCCAAAACTTTTGTTTAATTCCATTGAATATTTATGAAGTTATAGCAAAAAAACGTAAGGTGAAAAAATTAATTTTACATAAAAGGTCCATATCTTCATAAATATTTTCTCTAGGTTTAGGAAACTAACTTTATGTAGCTATTAAAAATAACAACTAAAGTAATCGATACAAGTTACAAGTTTTTTGATTAATTTTCTGGCATAGGGTGTTCAAAAATATTCATTTCCCTTCGTAATTTATTGTACGTCTTCAAAACCTCTGAAAGCTTTAAATCTTATTCCTAAGTATGAAAACTTGCATGAAATAAACACATCTAAAGTTACAAAATAATCTTTAAAGTTTTTCTTGAGAAATTTAAAATATGTCAAAAACTAAAAGTGTCTTTTCCATTATTATAGGCTAGTGTATATTGTTTATACCTACAAGACTACTACAAGGTTTGTTTATCCATATTGGAAAAAAAAAACTCTTGTAAGAGAAGTTAGTATTTTTTCGATTTAGCTACCACTTGAGTTTCAATAAATAACAAAGCGCTGATGGTTTTGGATTTGTCTACAAATGATTATTTTGGAAGTAATTTAATTTATTGTAAGAAGAATAATGAACACACAAAGCTAAATTAAACAAATTTACTTAAAAGAATCTTTAAATTATTACCAGTTTTCGTTTTGCTTAACTTTTCAGATATTTTCCAAAAAGGGACGAAAAAATATTTTTCTTGATCTCTTTTATTTTTTAATATAAATATGGAAAAAGGGGGATATAAAGCTATGACAAAGCTTAAATACGTGTATTGTGGATAAAAATATTTATGTAGCCAGTATTCTCGTTATTACTTTGTTTTTAAATTATTGTAAATAAAATAATATATAAATTTGTGTAAAAGTTTTTTTACTAAGTGTGTAAGTGATAAATTATTTTTCTTACCAGAGGGATGAAAAACTACTTAAATAAGAATTAGGAGACAATAAAAATGTTACAATATTAAACTGCTTCTTGCACCACCAAAGTAACGGGCTCTGCAGATTGCTTTTCATATTAGACTTAAAAAACAAGCCTAAAATATTACTGAGTATATTTTAGAGGAAGTAGAAAAATCCCTTTGAACTTCTATATTTACACAGTTCTTAACAAAAAATGTTTTTGGCAGTCTGCGGATGGATTATGTTTGAAGGTATGCAGATTATTTCTGCAGATATGAAAAAGAAAGGTAGTATTTTCAAAAATTGCGAATAATGTTCTTTAGTTGAAGTAATGTTGAAAACTAAGGAATGTCATTTTTTAAATTTCAATTATTCCACTAATATAAAAAAGCATAATTTTTTTAAGCAAAATAACAAATTTTAGAACAATAGTCTAGTTTTTCGAACAATATTCTCTGTATGACTACATTATTCAAATTTGAGTTCCTTAAGATTCGGCTATTATGATATTATGCATCAAGATACTGTTATTATGGTTCAACGTTGAACAGACATTTCTTTGAATGTAGCATGCAATAAACGGATCCGGTATGAGTTTTACTAATTTCTTCTCTTTTTTCCAGACCATCATCGTCAAGGATGGCCGTTGATCCAACGAACAGATGGCGGATGGGTAACGTAAGAACTGTTGGCTACTGCACATTTTGCGTCATCCTCCTAGGATTCGCCATGTTATTGGGCGGAGCCATCATTTCTGGTATCGCTTTTACGGAAGTCAGACCCAACGTTGCAGACGAGAATTACGAGAGATACATCAGATCAGATTTGAAGAGGGTGATTGGTCCAATCATGCTGGCCTTTGGCCTGCTCTGCATATTTGGTGGTTGCATATTTTTCGGTCTTACCCTCTGTTCAGCAACCATGGAGAACAGGCGTCGTTTGAAGAAGACGAATAAGTACAATGTCCGCGCCAGCGAGGAACACTTACCCTCGACTCCTGATGTCCAAAAGAAAATGCTGAGCGATGCATAAATTTGTTAGTGGGACTTTGCAAGTAGCTTCACATTATGTACTGTTGTTAAAAAAAATCGGCCCACTTTGAATCTACCGTATAAATATATAAATTTAATAGCGTTTATTGAATCACAAAATATTTTAAAACCAAAGGAGTTGTACCTTAGTAAGTTTTCAAGATAAATTAAGTTATCACCTGAATTACATTATTGTTATAAGTTGAATGATGTTTCTGTGAAAGAGATCAATCTCCGACGTTTAATTAAATTTTTACTAATGTTTTTAGCTTTACAGAAGGGTAAATATGAAAGCAAAAATTAGTTTGCTAATTTTCAGTAATTTTGATTTATAAATAATTATTCAAATGCATCTCAAAAATTAATTTATAAATTAATGACATAATTTGGAATACCTTATTTTTGCTTTTTCAAAAAATATAAATTGCGTTATCCGTACGCAAAATAGTAAATAATATTGTATTCTGAAGACATTTTTTGAAAGAAAATGTATTGAAGTAAATTATAAAATATAACAAAAATAATATTTCGTGTATTCCCATTATTAAGGATCACAAATCTGTGAGTGTTTTTTTTTCTCCACTAAATCATGGTTCAAACAATTCATAAAATAATGAAAAAAATCGGAATTCGATAAACAACGGGAATTGTTACACCTGTTCCATGAATGTATTATTATGTTACTGAATCTATTATGGTATTAGGGTTTAAATTAGGCTCTTTACTAAAGTTTAAGAAAAGTATTAGCGAATACAAAGAGTCGTTCTAAGATAATATCCGAAAGAAATCTATACTATCATTCAACGTGGATCGCTTTTTTTTAACAGAGAAAAAATGAAGAGACAAGAGAGAACGAGACTATTAGGACTAAGAAGTGTTTCAAAATATGATATAAAAAGTGTTGGATAAGATTTATCTAGGTAGTTTTTGTGTTGAAACAGATGGCGAATATTCATACATCCTTTGTAGCATTTGGTCTTATTGTTTTATCTTCAAATTCTGTTTTTTTTTACTTATTTAATATTTTTTTCATAAATGAATTAAAATCATCGATAAGCGTTTTTTTTTTTATCACTGATCCAATTATCAGAAATTCTACCCTTCCTTAAAGGGCATATGAAAAAGGAACTGAAATAACAAAATTTAAATCACCATTGTAAAAGTTATTTCCAGCTTTACAAAGTTCATGTTTCTAGAATAATCATACTGATGAAAATTTAAACTTTACTTGTATATTTTAAAGGTGAAAAAAATTTAGGCTCGTGCATTAGTAGTGTTTTCAAATAAAAATGTATTATTGTCTGTAGTTAAGCACCAGTTATTTTTTCATACCTTTTTTATTATTTTAATATGATTTTTTTTCATAAAATTGTGTATTGGCATCTGTATCTTCTTATGAGTTCAATGTGTATTTTATATTTTATGTCATTTTTCTTAAGAATAAAATAAATTACATACTATATGTTTCCTGAATTTCGTCAATTGGGGCATAAATTAAAGACCCTAATTTGTATGGCTAATTTAAAGCTCTCATCCATAATTAGTCCATAACTCGCAACATTCGCTCAAAATTTGCAAAACAAAGTTAACATGCTTTTGCTTTCAAATAATAATTTCAATTTTGTTAATCTTATGTTAAGAATAAATAGAAAAGTGACTTTGTAATTTCTAGAAATGTGTCCTCATGGTGTGAAGCAATTTAATAAATCTCCAAAAGAGCTAAGCAACTTAAAAATTTTTTAAAAGGTAATAAAAATAACAGTAGTATGACAAATATACATATATATTTTAAATTAAAGTTAGAAACCAAAAATAAGTGAAGCGAAATTTTAAAGATATGTATGTTGGCAAAACCAGCACTTCATCAGGGGGACACACTGGAGCCTTTCTGTAGTTAGTGGTTAAACCAAAAGCTGACTGTGTGTGTGTTCAAGCGTGTGTTCAAATTGTAATAGTTGAATTTTTGAGGTATTGCATTTTCTTATTTAGTTTTTCCATTGTGGGGACTCGGAGCACAGTCAGCTTTTGGTTTAACCACTAACTACAGAAAGGCTCCAGTGTGTCCCCCTGATGAAGTGCTGCTTTTGCCAATATACATATCTTTAAAGTTTCGTCTTGCTTATTTTTGCTTTCTAACTTTTTATTTGAATTTTTTACATAAGATTTAGCTGCTTTTAGCGCATTTCCATTTTGACGTATTATTTTAAAAGTTTTTATCCTAAAATTATTTATCTTAACATACGTTTAATACTCTTTCTTCACTTATGAGCCTGGAGGACCCACGTAAACACCTAAAACTTATAGAAGACACCAAAGCCATGTGGAGTAGCAACTATAATATAAATTGGATTAAAGCACACTCAGGCATTGAAGGGAATGAAGAGGCCGACTGGGTTGCTAAGGATGCCACTAAGCTTGGCCAGATTGATTTTGAGATCCCGGGGGAAAAATGCGAAATTAAATCTTACATTAAGAACATTACTTTTAACCGCTGGAGAAATGACTGGAGGTCTAGTGACAAGAGAAGACAAACCTATAAATTTTTTAAAGATCCAAGCATGAAGCGCCTGCAGGCCAATTTTTATTTAAACCAGCTCCTTACTGGCCACGGAGTGTTCGGGACCTATCAACAAAAATATTTCAAAAAATCAGCTTCATGCAATAACATACGTTTAAATCAATTTCCTACTTCGATTTGCTATACATATATATTATTATATGTTAATATGTCTAGAATAACATACAAATGGGAAAAGGGCCGTAATCATCAGGCTGCCAGATAAATTTTGATGATGATAATATCATGTAAATAGCATGACCTGTCTTCCTTCAAAATTTTGCATAAGTTAGAAGGTCGTTATAATGGATTAATAAAATACTTTTTGGATAGGATGAACTTATTTTTATTAACTCAATACCTGATCTTCGCACAGATAAAACAAAGTAATCAGTATTATTCAACACTACGAAACAATAATTATTAAATCTAAAATTATTCTAATTTTTCTTTTTGTTGTCTTTCCCCCTGAATTTGCGTTATTAGATTAATCTAAATACGTTTTTAGAAATTCCTTCTACCTAAATAGAAATTAACTATATTCAGCTGATCGCTCGAGGCCAACTCATGATAGTCAAAATTTACCACATATATTTAGTCCTATACTTATCCCTTTCTAGGAACCGTAAAAATTCTATTAACGTAATACCTATGTAAGATACCTATTCGTACCTTAATTAGTATAATTAAATTAATCAAGCTTAATTAGTAAATTAATTAAGCATTATTGGAGTCAATGATTGTTTGGCCATTCATTACAGTTCCCCTAAAGAATAAGTACTTTTCTTTTTAGAAAATAACTTCCTTTTTAAATCAATTATCGATGATTTTACAGTATTCAGTTTTATTATTTGTAGGATATTGTCTGGATTCCTATCCTCGTCTGTTCTGATTATTATTGGAGCAGGTAGACGAGGGTTACTGACTACTTCGCTGTACGATGGTTGTTTATCGGTGTTTTTCAGATCCTTAATCTGTATTGTGAGATCTTTAATCTGGTCTTCAATTAATTTTAGTTGGTAGGATTGTTGAGTTTCAAGTCGGTCAGATTGATTGGAGAGTCTTTTAATTTCTGTAATAGCCTCTTTGCATTCGTTAAATTCTTTTGTATTGTGTTGACCCCGACCGTTCAGATATCTATCAAGATGTTTCACTCAGTAAATACTTGTCAATTTCAAAAGAGGAATCAAGTACAGGCCAATCGGGGAAGACATTGATTTCCGCTTGGACATCTGATGATGAAGTAGGAGGGTAGTGTTCAACTGAGCTATTTTTAATGCTGTTTTTACCATAAAAGGAAGTTGGGATGATAGAATCAGTGTTTGATAGGGAACTACGACTATGCGATATGTTCGATAAATTATGCGGTGATGTTTGTGGAGGCTCTCTAGAGACTGGAGTATTTATCCGGGCAGAGCGTCTAATAGGTGAATCAGTGGTTCTTTTAGATGATGAAAAGGGACAAATTTCCTTCGGATTGTGACGACTACGAGATCTACCTCGAGATGGCATGGTGTGATCGAGTATGCGTCGCGGAGTATTTCTCCCGGTCATGATAATTCTACTGTTCGAATTCATCGTGTGGGATACGACAGTCTTCAAAGGTTACAAAATTTTTTTCCTACAAAATTTTGATCTTCATGAAACCTTAAAAAACTTTAGAGGAAAAAAAAAAACTTTTTTCCATAACTTTTTAGACTTTTGAAAAATTTTTAAATTTTCGTTTCTCTTTTTTTATTATTCTTCAAAATTTGACGCAACGAAAATTTTAAAAAAGAAAAAATACGTTTCTTCTTGTCAACAACTACATATACTGTTTTTCATATCCATTTGCTGTTTGCTGTTCACCTATATGTACTGGTGTACTCACTATTGTTCGTGCTTCATTTGTTGCTTCATTTTTTATTTATTTATTTATTTTTTATTAACTAATGTGATACACATTATTGTCATCTGTATAACGCAATTGTGCTTTGTATTTGTGGCGTAGTTATGAATTTCGTAATTGTTTGCTTATGTGCTGTGTATTGTGCGAGCTAGACTGTCGGCCAGACGTGGAATATACGGTTAAGGGTTTTGCAAACCTAGGTACGTGTCCACGTCTGGAAGAAAAGAAAAAAAATATAGATAAATAAATATTCAGTTTTAGAGAATCTCGCTTCAAAAGCTTAAGTATAAACAAAAACACTTGGTTTCGATTAACTTTAAAAACACTGATTCGGTGAAGTAACCGTGACATGCCATCTACGTTCATGACTTGAACTTCGCTCTTGACTTGAACTTGACGGCTGAAAGTGTCACACTAGATAAATTACAATATGTTAACAGCTTTCAAACACTTATTGGTGTCATGCATTTTTAACTAAAGATTATTGAAAATAAAATATAATTCCAAGTAACTTATTTCCCTAAAACATTAAACGTCTTTCATGGTTTCAAGTACTACAGTAATGTCAAATAATGAAACTAGATAAGTGTTTTTCGGGGTGTTCCGAAAAAAACACCATTAAAGAAAAACGAAATGAGACAGTGAAGTACCGACTACTTTGTTCTTTTAAGGTAACGAGAGAATTCACAAGTACCAAACTTCAATATCAGTTACTAAGTTCATAAACAAATGGTGATACAGAGGAGGAAAAACTATAAATCAATATTTTCAAAATAACCATCCATTACATTTACAAAGTGGAGCTGTCTGAGGCTAGAATTAATAGTCGCCGATACAAATATTTCTGTTGGAGAGGTTTGACATGCAGCACAAAGCATTGTTTTATAAGTTTTCCAGTCAGCAGCACCATCTGTTGAAAAAACTTGTAACTAAATTTAAAACTTCTTGAGAATAAAAAAGGGTTTCCTAAACGGAAAATCGAAGATCGCACATTTCTCTCTCCTCCCACTTTTCATTAATTGTTTTTCAAATCGTCAGGCATTCTTGGAACTTCTAGTTCCTGCAAAGTAAGTGAGGGACTTTTATGTAAATATAGAGAGGAGTTAACTATATCACCCGCCAAAATGAAGGAAGCAATTTCCTCTGAACTCTGAAATTTTAATAGAAATTTTTTTAATTTAAAATTTAAGATAGGCTATCTTTCAACGGTTTTTAACCTTTTCCGTTACAAGTGTTTTGGAAAAAGTCAATTTGTAAAAAATAATATGGAAGAAAAATGTGTAAAAATTTTGTGGGTGGAAAAACGGTATAGAATTTTGGTATAGACCTAACATTTAATTTATAATTTTCAAAAACTGTTGGGTGAGATTTTTGAGAAGTGTGAAAGCTTGGAATATATTCAAATGTGGTACAAAGTTGATTCTAATCTTTAGTCTTTTCGTGAGATTCCACAGGTGTACTTTATCAGATATTATTCTTTGAAAGTTTAATGTTCTTTTGACGTATTAAATATGTTTAAAAAAAACTAGAAGTACATTGTACGAAGCAATCTTCCTGGACAAGTCCGAAACCAGCTGGTTGGAACATTTTCTGATTTAAGGTAAGAGATTTTCATTAATTTTTAGATATTTATCACGAAGAAATTTAGATCAAATAATACAAAATAATTCCCAACAAACAGGATCATTTTAATAAAAATAAAAAAATTGATTTCTGTCAGCCATTTTTCACAATGTAACAATTTTAAGCAAATTAAAGCTGTTATCGTTTACCTTCTTGATGAATACCAAAGAAATAATTTATGTCATGGATATTTAAGTTTCCTGGAAAGAAATAAGAAATTTTTAAATAATGACACTGGTCATTTTGATTTTGATGCCAATTAATTATGATGGATGAATATATGATCGTTTTACTTATGACATGCGTAGAAGTGATTTACAAATCAAAAAGTACTTGTTTTGTGATTATTTAAACAACTTTATAAACTATTCTTTTGCTTACAATGAAAATGTGATGACAAATTTTTCCCAAAATAAAATAAATTTTCGAATGTCATTTTCAGGCAGTTTTTAAGTTAAAAGTGAATGGCATTATTTAAAATGGAGACACGCGTAGAAACTATTTAAGCCCTAGAAAAGTTTTATGGTGCAAACTTTTGAGTTTAAGTTTTAACGTGTTGCTTGTGGCGTGACAACTTATGGCATGCCTTTTTCATAAAAAACTTTAATTTTGTCATCCAAATTTATATATTTCAGACAAAATTATAACTTCAAACCCTGCATGTATGCGGTTTCTTTATTGAACGTTACACACAAAAACTACTTACGCCTGAAGACAAAGAAATTCTGGTAAAATTACCGTATTGTACCGGTAAAATTAAAGTACGGTATAGTCCAATAACATTTCTGGTAAAAAATAAACATAATTCTGGTTAATAAAACCAAAATATACGGTATTTAAATCATTCATTTGGTAATTTTCCGTTCATGTGGTGATGGTTCACAAGAAATTCGGGTTTTCGAAATTATAGCTCTTATTACCACACATTTAGTGAAAAATACAAAACTGAAAAGTAAATTTAACCGAATCAATGGTTTTTATGTCATGCTCTAAGATATTATGATAAAATTACGAAATTTCTCTACATTTACCGAATTTCGTCACATATTACAAAATTATGCTGAATATTAGTTTTACCAAATTTATTATCAAAGCGCTTCGGCAAGAATTATCAAGCTTTTTAGTGTTTCCCCAGCGCCACAAACACGGTAAATGTAACCATATTCTGGTAGTTTTGACCATACTTTTTTTTCTCAGTACGTCTAGGTTTCGCCATGTATATTCGTGAAATTAATTTTTGAGGTCATCATTGTATAGTTTTAAGTTTATTGTATAGTTATCACTGTAATTAAATTTTGACTCTCCTTTGTCACAAAAGAAAAAATAAATAAATGAAAAATCGAAATTTTACCTCAATTTTGGGAAACAGTTACCATTCGAACGCACAGTTAATTCAGCAGCCAATATTCATATCCTGTAGATGGCTTGCTGTGTAATTTTGTTTTTAAATACTAGCAGCTGTTCCACTTGCTCCGTCCATACACCAAACCCTATGGTGACCTCTTATTTATCTTTGTTTTCCCCCCATAAAAGTCAAATTTTTCGAGAAAAAAAAATTCATTTTGTTTATAAAATATATAATTATTATAATTTTCTGTAAGGACATTTCGTTGATGAATTATTTATTTAATCGCAACGAAATAAATAATTCATTGGATTGAAATAATTAACAACTGTATTTAAAAAAAAATATTTAAATTAAGGAATATAGAATGATTTATAGAATGATTCTTTAGATTTCGTGCAGCAAAACAAAATGTCACAATTAAATAAATTAAAATTTCAAAAAAAAAAATTTGTGCTAAGTCTATAAGCAGACATGATTCCTTCAGCATGTCAAATTTTAACTCTGTCGTTGTATTTTTGCAGTCTGTAACGCGGCCTTCGTGCTGTTTTAACCAGTTAATCATTCTCGAACTAATTATCGAATGCTAATTTTTTTTTTGTTCCAAAATATTACCTCCATATTTTTCTACGTACTGTCGCAATTTTAAGCTCGCCAGCTTTAGTTTTTGTGCAGCAAAACAAAATGCAATGTTAAGTTGCAGTGTCTATTGCATCTTTGCAGTTTTATTCACTTTTAACGAATGAAAATTAGACATTTAATTGCCATGCTTAAAAAAAAAGAAAACTACAAATTGAATGCTAAATGCATGGCTAAATTTTAAAGAAAGAGACACGTATTTACGACCTAAAAATATTTTTTCCGTTATTCAAATTTGAATGGCATTAGTTAACTATTAGCAAACCCAAAAGTATAGGTTTTGCTGTGCTAATGTTTAGAAAAAAGCAAATCTCAAAAATAAAGAAAAAATTGCTTTGATATCATGACGAATAAAATTTTTGCTTTATCCAAAACTTATGAATTTTTTCATAGCTCATACTTTATTAAAATCGCAGTTAAGCATAAATTTTGTTGAAATTTGTTTGATTTATTGAATTTTTAAACATAAAAACATCAGCAATTTTTTTTACTTAAAAAATACTAAGTTTGGTGGTATAAATAGTTGTCTTTCTAAAAATTTTGCTTCTACTAAAAGCAGTTAATAGTTGATTAAATACTGGAGTATTCATCAAGTTTTTGTTACTCATATAATACACCAGCACTCAGCAGCATCATTGCTGTTAAAGACAGTATCCATTGAGTTAACACAGTTATGAGTCTTAATTTCGAAAATTGAAATACTTTCTAGTGTATTCTTCAAGATTTTAACACTTATATAATACACCAGCAATCAGCGCATTGTTAAAGACAGTATCCATTGAGTTAACACGGTTATGAGTCCTAATTTCTCTAAATTGTATTACTCATTTGTAAATGATAAACAACTTAACAGCGAAATATAATTAGTTTGATTATTATAGTTATAGAAATCGTGAAGAGGAGGCAATGGTAGAAAAAACAGCCAGAATTTTACTTTGTGTTGCGTTTGCACTGACTTGGTCTTACACCATCTGCAAAACATGGCAGGGACCAACTGTAGAGAGACCGCTTCGAGTTGGAGCTTTCAACATTCAAAATCTTGGTAATAGCAAGATGTCTAACAAAACTGTTATGGACATTGTTAATAAGGTAATAAGAGATCCCGAATTTTTTAAAATTTATTTTATGCGAAACAATAAAGTATCCACTGTCAGCATTTCTTCTGCTATTCTGCGATTTAATTCAAAACAAAGCATGATAAATATCTTCTTAAAGAAATTACAAAAATTATGGTGCTAATATTTTTTTTAAATTTTCAATTTATTTACTAGTTTTACGGAAAACGTTTTCGCATTAATGTGGGAGTGAATTTATGAAAAAAAGCAATTGTTACACTTGTGCTTAAATAAATGGTTATTTCCTACTGATTAATTATAAAAATACGAAGATAGAAATATATATGTTTATATTATTTCTGCAACTACCCATTAAAAATACTGCACCAGGAAATCAGAAGGTCTTTTTGGTACCACAAATATACCTGATATCTTACTGGTAGTACCTGGTATGACCAGTAGTTTACGACCACACCTTTTTGTAGCAATTTTAATGGATGCCAACTTATGTGGTTACCTTGCAAAGAAAAAGGCAATAGAAATCTACAAAGATTTAGTTAAATATTACTTAATCAGGTATTGCCCAATATTATGATTATAGGACAGCAGGTTGACCGCAGTCTGTAAACATTTAAAATATGGTCACAAATGTTTTATAAGGTATTGTAAATTGTATTGATTTTTATATCACGACAATAGGGTACTTTCAACTCAAGAAGGTGAACAGTGATACATAGACATGTGACCTAAAACCTCATCATCAGCTGATCATTTGTAAGCAAAATAGCCTGCTAAAGTCGAACTAAGCTTCTCCACTTAAGTTAGAATGTTAATGTGAAGTTAATTAAATGCAACATCGTATCGCACATTGAATTTGTAAAAATACAATTCTTTCTCATGTACATCTTTTGCTTAACTTAGATTTATCATTTATGCACTTTATTGTAATTATAATATTTTCTTGCTCACCTGGCAACTTCGATGTATAATTAGTTTGTTTATGACCTACATGGCTTCGTGCCTATGTTAAGTAAGAAGTTTATATATAGGGAAAGAATTGAAATATTTCGCAAAGACTCTTTGTGAAAGAATGTAGAATATATTACTTAAGGGAATTGATATTTTGTGGGCTTGGCTTACTCAAAATAGAATGGAAAGAATAGTTACTAACTTAAACAAATGCCACCATTTCAACAACCAATCAGGATCGAGATACCCACTCTACGTCCCTTGCAGACATCCCATTTTAGGAATTGGTGAGTTGTAACATTGATATTTAACTTGCAAATATTTTTGGTTGATAGTAGTTAGTTGGAACGTTGAAAATTTAGTATATTTCGGCGGTTTGACTGATTTACCGAATCTTTGGATCTTTTATTTTTAAGTCATAAATTAGTTGAAATAAACTGGAAGGCATTGTTTTCAATGTATTTTTTCCCGTTGAACTGAATAAGACCAATCCAGAGGTGATTGAAGAAATAGTTTAGAAGTTATAAGGGTTTTCGTTCAAAAAATACAAATTCATACATATGTACCTATTTACCCAACAACAAACAAGTCGTGTATTTCCTATTCTTGGCCCTAGATGGTGACACTTGAAAACAAGAAAAATCACCCTTGCCTAATGACGGACGACAACAACAACATGTATTTCCTATGTATTTTTTACGTCGATGGAACGAAAAGTTCAAAAGTTGCAAGCGTTTTTGTCTAAATAAGTACTTATTTTGATATAACTCAATAAACTTTTTATTTTGCTATCTAAGAATATATACAATAAACTTTTTATTTTGCTATCTAGATATCTGAACATAGGAGGTATATTTTATTATCAAATGTTTTGTACAGAATTGAATGAGATAAAATTCTAATTAACAGGATAAATAGTTGTGAAATTATAATGGTTTTCTTCATAAGAAGTGCAATTCAAAAATAGCACTTTCCATACACTAAAAGAGAAAAAGAAAAAAAAATCAACTTTTGTATTATTACCTTTTTTAATTCCTGCTTGGTCTCATTCAATAAAACGTAAGGGAACTCATAAGAAACAATATCTTACTTGTCTGTTCAACAATATAAAATGCATAAACAAAAAAAGTACAAAAATGTACTTTTATATATAAAACGCATATAACTTTTAAACCATGAGTCCGATCATCTCGAAATTAGTCTCATTCGATTCTGCAAAAAAATTACATCAGAAAATATTTGTTACACATTCAGATAGTTCTTATAGCAATGCAAAGTATATACATGAAGTGCGTGCTTTGTTTTTTACATAAAAATTCTTAGGGCGTTTGAAATAATTTTTGTAACTGTCTTCAGATTAAAACAATACACGAGTAACAATGTATCATTTGTTTACGTCATTAGAGATATTTTTGATAACGCATCGCTGTATACATTAAAATTTATATTTATCTGTTATAGAGAACAGTGCACGTGTTGGCGAAACATCAGTAAAGTGGTCGCCAATACCCATACTTGGTCCCCATTACCGATAAGTACCAAAATAATAATAATAATAATAATTTTAAAGAAATATTTTTAAAAAAATAGGTGTTACTAAGATATGATCTGGTGCTGGTTCAGGAGATTGTCACTTTAGATGAGACGATGATGGAAGATGTTTTAAAAAACCTAAACAAGTGAGCCTCCACTACAATTTGAGTAATCAAAACAGTTGTGCTTTCTATTTGTTAAATAATTTCGTTTTGATATTTTTCAGATTGAATAAAGTGAAGGGTTCTAAATACGTAATGACGATAAGCGAAAGACTTGGTAGAGGAAATGCAAAAGAGCAATATGCTTATATCTATAGGTAATTATTTTTTTTTTACAAAACTTCAGGAATTCGTATGCGGAATTGAAGAATGGTCCACCAATTGGCGTGCTACTATATAGGCAGAAAACAATAATATCTTTTTAATCAAAAACTCAAAGAGAAGAGCGAAGTTCACGAAAAACATTATCATCTTTAGCACCAAGTGGTAGAAGCTATCAATTCATCTATATTTATTTAATTTAATTGATTGTTAAACCAAAACTACCACCATGATTAACATTCCAAACTATTCATATTTAAAGCGAAAACATTCTTTGGATTCACTTTCAAAAGTAAATTGAAAGATATAAACTAGAAAAAGTTGCCAACATTAGTTTGTTTTAATGCATTTTTACTATTTATCGGTTGCCAATTTTTGCATTTTTACTCCAGAGATACCAACTGCTGCGGATTTGACAAACTATTTAAAAAAAAACGATAAAGAATTACAAATGAGAACTTGCTGATTTTCGGTTACGTTTGCCAACTTTGTAAAAGGCTCAACACGGCTTAATCATAAACAAGTGGAGTATCACAAAAGCTTTCGAATTATTTCAAAGTAGTCTTGAGTAAAAACCCTATAAATCAAACTTACTAAACCAAGAATCTTACATTGAAAACATATCATTCGAAAGTATTTATCCGCTGTCCGGAGCAAATTAGCATCTCCGTTAGTGAGCCGTGGCATTCTTGAATACATCATCATCATCATCATAAAAATTTATATGGATGCCTGAGGCCGTTTACGGCTCTTTTCCCACCCACGTTGAAGTCTTAACTTTAAGGTGGTTCTTTCTGGTAACTGGAATCCAAATTGGAGAGGGGAAAAAATTAAATATTTTGTATTCTAGATAAAGATGCGTCGATACAAAAAAAAAGCTGCCATTGGTCTGAGGTTTGTGTCTTTTGCCAAGTTTTCAATTGTTAAAATTTCCTTAAATCTTGTAGTCACAATTTATGGCTTTTTTTAAAAAAATATGCAACTTTTAGCTTTGCAATATGATGTTCTAAATAATATCAAAGTTGAGACCGTGATGTATGTTCTTATTTCGGCTAAACCATCTTGCTTGTGTCATTTTTCGCAGTATTTTAATCTGGCATCTTTTGAGTTGACACCAGGCTGGAGAAGCGTAAGTTAAGATGGGACGGATCATTGAGATATAGAGTAAGCTTTTAAATCTGAGTTTTATTTTTACATTTTGAGGAAGAATTTGTAATTTATAGCAATCTGCTTGGGCTTTGTTCACCATTGATTTTTGAACTTGAATTTGCTGTTTATGACTAAACCAAGATATTTTACACTTATGACAATGGAGATAGTTTCTCTAAAAAGAACGACTTGGTTTTTTGGGCATCCTTGAATACCTAGTGCAAGTAGTACGATTTAGCTGGGCACCTGGGCCGCTAAGCGTCCCCTATCCCATTCATCATGAATTTGGGTTCCGTTTGTATTGAGTCTTTGTGGTTAGCAGGAAGTGAGGTTGCTTTATATTCACTTCAAGCACTTTGCTTGAGCATCCTTGAATACGGATAAAAACTACTTTATTATGAAGTAAATTTTACGTTATAAAATGGCAGTTGAACTTATCCGTTTATTAATATTTTACTGTTCAGCTTCCTCCTAGGGTTCTTAAATTTTTTATTACATTGACTTTTTTAAGTCCTAAGACAGACCTGTCCATCAAACACGCTATTTTAAGGACTAGAAGGTCACTTCTAAACCTAGTTCAAGAAATATGTATGAAATATTTGAATTTGCCCCTTTTCACCTGCCACACACAAACGCTCTTCATTTTTACAAAACTGTGCCTTGTCTCCATATAGGCTTTTTGCCATTTTCCGAATAATCATAGACAGCGCTGGCTTTCGATGAGCTAAACTCTATCTAACAGTCACGAGGAACAGTTACAAACTCACAGCAGTTATAAAAAGAGCATAATTATTCGCAAAAAGCATCATTTCTTATCACGGCGGAGTTTTCGAAAATCAGCATTTTAAGTGTGTCATTTTTTTCATAACCATTGAACGCGTATTTATAATACGTTTAGTAACTTTGTTTGTTTATTTATTTTTGATCATTATTATAGTTTTTTCCCATTTGTTTATTTGTTTTTCTTTTTTAGAAATGATAAATTCAAACTGCTAGGGGCACATTCTTATCCAGATAGGGAAGATGATTTTATGAGGCCGCCATACATTGCTCATTTTTCAACACCCACCCTAAGTAAGGTGCCAACACCACCGATAATTTTTGCGTTTTTCATGGAAGCTTAAATAGAAGTTTTTAAAATTCATTTACCACTACATTTAAATATTTCAACCCTAATTTTAAAACCTCTGATAACCATGCGAGTGTCTGTAAGATTTTAAAGATTTTGCTTAAGTTTTGAGATTTCTTGTTTATTTTTACAATCACAATGAAAAATTTTGCTCAAAAAGTTGGCAATTTCGTGCCAATTTTTTTTTCTTTCGGCTCTTAAAGCCGCATGTATCAGGCGTAAATCTGTAAACTTATTCCTGGTCAACGTGTAATTATAGAAAGAAATAAATGATTTCAAAAATATTAAATAGATTTGCAGAATATTTAAATAAAAAGACTGTTCCCATCGAATTATATAATTGCCAACTTTTACGTGTTTTGCGTACTCTTATTTTTAAAGTGGTAGTTAAATCAACATACTTTCAATTTTTTTCCTCGCATTTATGAATATAATTTAAAATGATTTGACCACCACTAAATCTAAATAAGTTAAACATATTTAGAAATATTTAAAGTTGTACGCTTAAGCTTTCACAAGTTGCGAGATATATTATCGCGTAGCTGCCAACTTGTACGGCAGTTGAAAAAAAGATTTCACAGTGGTAGCAACATTATAGCAAGTTGAAGTATTTAATTCAAAGTTTCTTAAAAAATTTCAAACGGTTCTTTTATAAAAGAAAGTGGTAGGGTACTTAACCTTTAACTCAGTGGAAATGTTTGAACTTAAAGAAATACAGCATAGGAGTATTTAGTGATATATCGAGTAACTTAATCATTCTATAAATGATTTTCGGGGATTTAGTTAGTTGGTTGATTAAGTTAGTTAGACTAAAGATGTTAACTGCATTGTTTGGTTTGCAGTTTAGACGATCAGTAATAGATTGTTACCTATATTATTTTTTAATAAAAGTTGTGTAAACTAAATACATTATTGATCAGATTTTAGCTTGTTATAAATTACTTTATAACTTATTTTATTTTTATAAAATAAAACGTATGTTATTAGCATTAAAACTACATTTTATACAAATCATTATGAAAAAAACTAATACAAAATAAAATTTATTTCCAAGAAATTCTGATTATTGTTTAATTAGATACTTCATACGAACTTTAAAAATTTCTTTGACGTTTTTATATCTTCTCAGGACACATATCTTCTATGATTGCTATCGGAATTCACACTCAACCCAAAAATGCCGCCAATGAAACAAGTTCGCTCGCACAAGTCTACGACTATGCTGCAAAAAAATTTAAAGAAAAGGTAAAAAATTCATATCATTCTTTTAAAATAATTTATAGTTTAAAAATTTTTACAAAGATAACTGCATTGATGTCTAAGTTATTTATGAAATTTTTATGTAAGACTTTGTTGTTGCTGTTGTAGTTCATTTACGTCGCACTAGAGCTGCACAATGGGCTATCCTGAGGATGATCCGAAGACATGCCATCACAATTTTGATCCTCTGTAGAGGGGATTGTACACCCGCTTCGGTAGCCCGACGACCTGCACGCGAAGTCGAGCACTTTACGGTAGAACAGTTTAACGAGGACCCATACCGCACACCCTCGGTCCCTATGCAGACTAGTAAGACTTTGTTAAAGTTGTATTTAGTCCATGGATGTTGTACTGACAGATTGAATATTTTATGGAAACTTCAAAATTATATCTAATTGGGTACTTGCAATTCGAGAAGAAGACGATCACTGATACACAGACACGTGACCTATGACCTCAGCGACAACTGATCGTTTATAAACAGGATGGGGCGTTAAAGTTGAACTAAGTCTCATCACATAAGTTAGAATGCTGATTAACGTGAAGTTAAATAAATATTACGCCGCATCGCGCATAGAATTTGTCAAAGTATAATTATTTCACTTCTACGTCTTTTACTTAACTTAGATTATTTATTTATTTATTTTATTGTAACCATGTTATATTTTCGTTTCGCGAATCTGGCAATTTCGATGTATAATTAGTTTGTTTATGTTCAACATTGCTTCTTGCTTGTCTTTGTGTTAAGTAAGAAATATGTGGTTAAAGAATTGAAATCTTTGAGATAGAAATTAGAATGTGTCACTGAAGAGAATTGATACTTAACAAGCTTAGCTTACTTGAAATAGACTGAAAGAACAGTTGATAACGTAAATAAATGCCAAGCTTCAGCAACCAATCAGGATCAAGATACCAATACTATGTCACTTACAGGTATCCTATTTCGAGAACAAATAAATTCTTATTTTTAATTTCTGACAGTCTGGTTTTTATTTTTATTTTTACGAGTCAAAGGTTGGTTTTGATTAGTGAATCACAAATTTAAAATTATCACGATTTTTCGAATCGTTATTCTCCGATGGTAAAAACACCAAACTTTAGGTAAATTATGCAAAATTGTGTGTGTGAAAAATAAATACATAAAACTAACTCAAAACGGAGGCAAATATTACAAAAACAAAAATAAATAATAGTGTTATGAGTTACTAAATTGTAAGTCCTAGTTTCGTGTTTTGTAATTTGAGGGTAATACCTACAATTTTGTCTGTAAGGTATCTTCGTATCTTATTTTTCGAAAGTCAAAATTCTTTTGGTATGCAAATTTTAACCCATTATGGTCGTATGAAAGACATTCTATGATGATTTTTATGAAAGAACACATATTATTTGATTTTTTTACTGGATTTATTCGTTTTGGTTATAGCTTCTTTAACATATTTGTTGCCAGCAAAAACTAGAGCAAACCTAAGTACGAAAAACCTTATTCAAATTTCCTTTTATAATTCTCGCAAAATTCAACATTTTTTGTCAGACTTATTCACATATTTCAGGATAATTCTCTGATAAAATCTAAAGTTGTAACAAAAAAATATTCCATAATTTGTCGAGTTCTGAGAAGATTTAATACTAATTACATGTGCTGATAAATTAAAATTTAAGCTTACATATATATGGAAAATTAATCTCTCTAAGAGCTATAGTGCTAGATATAACCTATAGTGCTACCTCTCCTGAGGGGGAGGGCTGTCGCGACGACGAGTTAACCCGGTATACCCACATTTGGGGGGTCGGGGTTGAAATACTAACTTAAATAACCTATAGTGCTAGAAATAGGATACTTGCAAGTGACGTAGTGTGGGTATCTCGATCCTCATTGGTCGTTGAAACGTGGCATTTGCGTAAGTTTGAAACTATTCCTTCCGTTCTATTTCAAGTAAGCTGAGTCAGTCAAGCATTAATTCTCTTAAGTGACACATTCTATATTCTTTCACACATATTTCAGTTTCTTCTTCCGTGTCCAATTCTTTCTTATTTCAGTTCTTTTCAGTTCTTTCTTCTTATTTTTTCAGTTCTTTCTTCTATATATTTCTTCTTTGTCAGCGCAACAGCCGCTTGCAAGCCTTGGCTGCCTCAACAGCTCCTCCTATCCAATTTATAATCTTTTATATATTTCTTACTTAAGACTATATATATATATACATATATAGTCTTATACCTTACCATATATATATA